CACGATTAACATGTTCCGTAATGGTATTCTAAATGTAAAAACGTACCCAAGCTGTGATAGTCTCAGACCACAATCCTGTAGTCGCAACTATCCGATTAAAACTTATGAGAGTAGACAAGGCTAAACCCAGTCAGAGAATAGCATGGAGTAGTGCTAAGGACAGCAACAGCTCCCACTAAGGAGAAGACATAAAAAAAACATTGAAGACATGTGGGGGGAAATTAAAAATACTGTCTTGGAGACAGCAGACCAAAGTATACAGAAAGAAAACCGTAAACATAGAAAACCATGGATGACGAACGAAATATTACAAATTATGGAGAGGAGACGGATGGTAAAAAAAACCTAACAAGATACAAAGAACTCAACAGGGAAATTGAGAAAAAATAAATGTAGCTAAGGAAGAGTGGACGAAAGAAAAATGTAAAGAGGTAGAAGATTTGCAAATGAAGCATAAATATAGAGATCTACACAAAGGTTATAAAGAAGTAGCAGGGATATGGAAACTCAAACACTTATCGATTGTAACAAACAAGAAGAACCACATGGAATTAGACCCTGAAAAACAGAAAGAAATATGGGAGCAATATCTTAGAGATTTGTTTGGTGATCAGAGAACAGAAGAGCCCCCACAAATAGATACAGATGGAAAATTATACATTCTTACCGAAGAAGTTTGGCAGGCAATAAAAGACGCAAAGAAGAACAAGGCACCCGGCGAAGACCTAATACCAGCCGAACATTTTAAACACCTAAGTGACTGGCTAACATTAACATATATAGCTCTTCCTAAAAAACAAAAAGCAAGGAAATGAAAAGACCATCGAACTGTATCCCTAATGAGCCATGCCGCTAAGATTTTTATGCGAATAATTTATAACCGAATTCACAACAAGTGTGAAAAATACCTGAGTCGTTCTCAATATGGTTTTAGAAAGGGCAGAGGCACTAGAGAAGCAATTATGGGATTGACGCTGATAACAGAAAGGTATCTTGAGGTTCAAAAACTATTGTATGTGTGCTTTGTCGATTATAGAAAGGCCTTCGACCGCATCAAACACGGAAAATTGATTGAGGTGCTAAAAAAATAGGGTTGGACGGACACAGCATAGCTATCATAAGTAATACATACTGGAACCACACAGGATGCGTTCGAACAGAGAACTGAGACACCAAGTACATCAACATAGAACGAGAAGTGCGTCAAGGGTGCATTTTGTCCCCCCTATTATTTAATGTATACGCCGAACATATAATTAGAGCTTCTCTTGAAGATCGCCCTGAAGGTGCCAGAGTCAACGGAATCATCATCAACAATATAAGATATGCCGATGACACCGTAGTATTAGCAGAAACGGAAGATCAATTAAAATATTGATGAACATATTATCAGAACATAGTCACAGCCTGGACTTGGACATTAACTTTTTCAAAACCAAAATTCTGGTACTTATTCCACAAAAACCCCCATGAACAAGTTACACCCAACATACAAATAAATGGTATCACCCTTCAGAATTCCCAAAGCTTCATATACCTGGGCAGAGAACTAAATAGTCAACTAGACCACTCAAAAGAAATTATAGACGACGCATTGACAAGATTTGGTTTCATGAATATGCGTAAAATGTTCTGTAACCCCAAGCTATCAGTCTCAATAAGATTGAGAACAGTAAAGTGTTATGTGTGGTCTCTATTACTATATGGCTGTGAGACCTGGACATTAAAACAGTATGACGTCAACAAATTAAATTCATTTGACATGTTTATGTACCGCTGAATGTTAAGAATAAGCTGGACCAGCAGAACTACGAATGAAGAAGTACTGAGAGTAATGAACGCGTCCTCATCTGGTTAATACTATCAAAATTAAAAAGACTTCATATCTAGGACACATAATGCGCCATAGGGAATTTGAGCAGCTCCAGGTAATATTAGAAGGCAAGATTGAAGGCAAACGGGCATAGGATGAAAAAAAAATCTTGGCTACGAAACATCAGAGATCCAAAGAGGAAATGAATTAATTCATCAAGCCCAGAACAGGGAGAAATTTGCCATATTGATCGCCAACCTCAACAGAGAAGGCACTTAAGAGGAAGGAGGAGACCTGTACAGATAACGGACGAATGACATCCAATTTCGGCATGAGTCATATTATCATCCAACACGGGCAATATGTCCCCACTGTACTTAAAAATTCTAGAATCTTTATGTGAGAACAGGATTCGAAGGAATTATGTACTTCTGGATTATTCGACTGTTTACGTGAATTATCTCGAATTTATTACTTGGCTATACAACGACCGGTTATGGTTATGGAGTTAGTTTTTAAACAGTAGTTTAAAGAATGACACGAAAATTATAAATGTAAGCTTAATATTACCTATATATTACTTACACTGCAAACAAAAAATACGAAACCAATGATCTAAGGATATACCAGATATAACCAAATGTGAGAAACAATAGATACTCAAAAAGTTAAACAATAAGACCCCAAAACTCGGAGGAATTGTGTTTTCCAAATACGAATTTCGCAGCCTACTAAAATCAGAATTTTTTTCGATAGCTCGATAGAGAGTCCGGGGACTGAGTTTTTTGGTTATTGTGTGGCGTTTTCATTTATGGTAACTAATTGTGTTCTGGTGATGGTATATATATGTGGCTCTGGTAGTTTGGATGGAGCATATCTAAAAAATACCAGAGAAGAGACTGCATTAAATAATACTAAATGCGGAAATTAGAAGGGGAGGAAGGTTGATTTAAAAAAAAAATGAATGACAGCCACAAACTAAAAAATAAAGAAAGGAATAGAAAACAGTGAAAAATGATAATTCAGAATGAAATCAGAATTTTCCTCGATAGCTCGATAGAGAGCCCAGGGACTGAGTTTTTTGGTTATTGTGTGGCGTTTTCATTTATGGTAACTAATTGTGTTCTGGTGATGGTATAGAGACATCTGGCTCTGGTAGTTTGGATGGAGCATATCTAAAAATACCAGAGAAGAGACTGCATTAAATAATACTAAATGTGGCAATTAGAAGGGGAGGAAGGTCGATTTAAAAAAAGATGGATGACAGCCACAAACTAAAAAATAAAGAAAGGAATAGAAAACAGTGGAAAATGATAATCAAACAAAACAAGGGTGAGCAACTTAGACCTGAAATAATAATATATGTATATATCTATAAAACGCAACCTACTTCTTTTAATGATATTTGATACTGTATGGTGGTAGCATGTGACGAAATAGTGTTTAATATAATTAATAATTGGGACATTTGTAATTAAGGGATTTTTTGAGTTAAATAAACCACGTTGTGCTTCACTTAATCTCTGAACATCAGAACAATCGGTGTCAGAAGTGGGATTAAGTGTAGAAACAATTTATTTTCGAGAATTTGAGTGGTACAAACCAGAAGCGAGATCAAGATGGAGGACATTCGAGATATGATTGCAGCAATGGAACAACGCCGTTAGAAAGAAAAGGAAGCTGAGAAGAGTCGTCGTCAGGAAGAAAGGGAAGCTGAAGAGAGACATCTTTAGAAAGACAGAGAGTTGCTTGTGAGTCTAATATCAAAAATAGAGGCCTCAAAAGTTCGAGATATGATTGCAGCAATGGAACAACGCCTTTAGAAAGAAAAGGAAGCTGAGAAGAGTCGTCGTCAGGAAGAAAGGGAAGCTGAAGAGAGACATCTTTAGAAAGACAGAGAGTTGCTTGTGAGTCTAATATCAAAAATAGAGGCCTCAAAAGTTAGTAAAGAAGAATGAAAAGAGAAATCAAAGATAGTAAAGAAGACATGATTAAAAGAATTAAAGTAACAAGAGGTCTAGTAAAGAAAATATATGATTAGACAACGAGAACTCATGAAAATAAGCGCCTAGAAATTAAAAATACCGTTACAGTAAGAGTGAGCAACACCAATAATAACAAGATCACCTTGAAAAAAGGTCAAAGTAGTTGCAAGAAAAGAATGACCAGAATGGAAGAAAACGTGCCAACAGCCAGCACTACACACCAACTCTCCACTGAGCTTTTGGAAAATATAAAGGAGCCAAAGGGTCATTTATCAGAAGAATTAATCAAAAACAAAAGTATCAACTTCTTCAGAGGAAGAATAACTGCCGGCACGGACTCAGTCCAAGTCAGTGCAGTCAGGCCATTCGAATAAATACTGACAACTCCAACCCCATAAGGTACGCACCAAGACGTCTTAGTCCAAGGCCGCACTGACTTAGTGTGGACAGTTCAATTGAATAAACGCTGACAACTCAAATCCCATAAGACAGGCATCAAGACGTCTCCCATTTTCAAAATAAAAAGAAGCTTTTGTCATTCTTCAATAAATGTGGAAAGCAGACGTTATGGAAGAGTCGAGTAGCCTTCGGTGTCATCGAGTGATAAAGATGGCTCCACAAGGTTCTGTGTCTACTACAGAACATTAAATAGCGTAACCAAGAAAGACAGCTACCCACTGACTTGAACAGATGATGCCCATTGCGCCTTGGCTGGGTCGACAACGTTTTCCACATTGCATCTCAAAAGCGATTAAAACGTAACAATATTTTCCTTTTGGAAATATCATGGAAGTTGCCAATCATTGGAAATATCTTGTTGGAAATATCACCCATATTTCCAACAGAATTAATATATTAGTTTTAACGCAAAACAAAACAAAAAAATCAAACCATTAGTTTATACCTCTAAAAAAAACCAAAATACCTCTAAGGCCCTTAACCCTGTTCCATTTAAGTTTCTTAAAAGGGCAGCCAACACGTTTAGGGCGATGAAAGCTGTATTTTAATATAAATATTCAAAAATGATTACACACGAATCAGCAACATTACTTTAAGCCAGATTTAAAATTAGAATTACTCTTATCAACGCACTTATTTGAGATCCCAAATTGGGTGATAAGTAAATTATAGACGCCTATAAAATTGGTTTCATTTACTCAAGTGTCAACTTGACAATGAAACATACTTCCGAATAAACCAATTATCTTATTATATCACATACTTGAATATCTATATCTTTTAATATTAAAAGATCTATCATTTATTCCTTGATCTACGAGACTTGATCGCCTGAATTTGTTTAAAAGCGTACCTTTTTCATGTGGTTCTTCTTTAACAAAATTCGTTCTTCTTATGGAAACATTCGATAACGGGGCTTCTGAACATTTTATCACAAACATTACTACTGAGCCTATCACAGGTGGGATACCAGCCAACACGAATGGCAACGTATAACTATGCTGGCTGTCGAGAATTAGACCAGCAACATAAGGTCCGAGAGTCAGCGGAATTGAGCATAATCCTAACAGGAAACCAATTGCTTGGGTAGCCCCTTCACGGCCGCAGAGATCAAATGCAATAGGACCTGAAAGAGTAGAGATTATTTATTAGTTTCGTATTAGTTACTTACAACTCATTCTATTTATAATCTATTATATGTTTGCAGTTAATTGTTTACAGCTATACGTCAATATCTATGTAGAGCAAGTAGACTCTTTTTATGGAAAAATACAATATCATACAATATTATTTTCGAAAACACTGTTCCACCTTTGATAATTTTGTGAACCTTGAATCAAGTATAAACAAAGCCTATGATAGAGTTTGGAAATATCCAACCATTAAAACGCTTATCTATGTTTTTTATCTTTTATACACCTACTGTATAAAAGAAACATACCAACCAATATTATACAAACCATTGAAAACATCTACTTACATGATCGAATACAGGTAAAGATAAATGGAAAACTAACACAGTGTATGTATATCAGTACAAAGCAGAGTCAGGCAGGTGACTCGTCAAGCTCACTTCTCTTTAATATAATAATGGACGAAATAATACAAGCAGTACGTAAAGGTAAGGTTACAGAATGGGGAACAAATAAACCAAAATATTATGTTATGCAGACCATGCCGCATTAATCACCGAGACAGAAGACGAGCTCCAAAGATTAACACATATCTTCAATACAACAGTCAAGAAATACAATATGATAATATCAGCAAAAAAAAACAAATGTATGACAACATCTAAATACCCACTACGATGTAAAACCAAAATTGATGGGAAAATAATAAACCAGGAAGCAAGGTTTAGATGTCTGGGAATAGATATAACTAATTACGGACATGTGAAGAAGTTTTAGGTGTAGCTAGCCCCCATCACGATTTGCCGATATCGTTTTCGATCTTGCGCGGTATGTAATAATTCATCTGCTGATAAGCCAGTTCTCCTACCAATTCCTCTTTTTTCGTCGATCTTTCCGTTGAGTATCAACTGCATTATCCTGTATTTGCTTCCTCTCATTATATACCCCAGATATTCGAGTTTTCTCTTTTTTATCATCTTTACTATGTCACCTTCACCTTGACCTACTCTGTTCAAGACTTCTCTGTTTATGTGTTGAACCCATGATATTCTGAGCATTCTACGATATAACCACATCTTGAAGAATTTGTTCATCATGTTAACCTTTATAATCCAGGTTTCATATCCGTACAGTAATACAGGATACACATTTTAGGAACTTAATTCTCAGCTGTAAGTTCAGAATAGATCTAAGTTTCATAAATGCTCCTCTTACAAATTCTATATGAGTTTTAATTTCTTCATCCGGATTTAGTGTCTCGTTTATCCAATATCCTGGGTATTTAAAATGGTTAACTTTTGTTATCGGTTCATTATTGACAATTAGATGTATAGCGCCGAGGTCTTATTTACTAACCAAAAGTAACTTTGTCTTTGTTGTATTTATTCTTAGTCCGTTATTAGAGCATTCCCTAGTGACTCGATCTATAACCAATTGAAGATCTTCAATACTTAAAGCCATGATCGCGGTGTCATCTGCATATCTGATGTTAATAGTTTCTCCCCGACTCGAACTCCACATTGCCCTTCCAAAGCTTCGTTAAAAATTATTTCTGAGTAAACGTTAAACAAAGTTGAGAGCAACACACAACCCTGTCTAACACCTCTTTGAATACAAATTTTGCCTGTTTCTTTGCCGTCTACCAGAATAGAAGCTTGTTGATTCCAATATAGATGTTGTAAAAGTCTCAGATCTTTATCATCTATTCCAATCATTTCTAGATATTCAAAAAGCCTACCATGCTGAACCCTATCAAACTCCTTCTTAAAATTTATAAAACGGACGTAAATTGCTTTCTGTAGTTCCCATGATCGTTGAAGTAGTGTTAGCATTGAGAACAAAGCTTCCCTTGTTCCCAAACCTTCTCTGAAACCAAATTGTTTATTGCCCATTGTGTGTTCACATTTCTGAAATATTATCGAATACCGTGAAATCAATAAACGCATAAAAAGAAAAATTAAGCAAGCCAAAGAATCCTGGCTTGAGAATTTATGTAAAGAAATAGAAGACCTCCAAAAAAAGCATGACAGTTTCAACCTCCACAAGAAACTTAAATATACTGCCGGAATTAGAAAACAGAAAAATGCTCACATACTTAAAAGCGCGGATGGAAAAATTTGTGATTACGAACAACAGTGCAAAGAATTGGAGAGATACATCTTTGACGATGCTTCTAGAGAAAATGCTCCAAATACTGCTTGTGACAACCAGTTAGACAGAGGTCCCAGTATACTGAACTCGGAAGTCAAAAAGGCAATACAGCAAGCCAAAAACAATAAAGCACCTGGACCAGATCAAATGAGCTGAGCTGAGCTACTTAAACTTTTGGATGAGGAAAGCATTGCCTGCTTAACCACTTTCTTCAACAAAAGTTATAACGAAGGAAAAATACCAGATGATTGGTTAGAGTCACTGTTTATAACATTACCAAAGAAAAGCAGGCCCACCAAATGCAGCGATTTTAGACTAATCAGTTTGATGAGTCACACACTGAAGATACTCTTACGAATTATACAAAACCTAGTATTCCTTCTATGCGAAAGTAAGATGGATAATAAGCAATTTGGATTTAGAAAGGATCTAAGAACTAGAGAGGCACTATTCTGTATGCGCGTTCTATTACAAAAAAGTTGTGAATTCCGAAAGAATGTTTATGTTTGTTTCATCGACTTCGAAAAGGCGTTCGACAGAGTACAACACGATACACTTTTCGATTGCCTACGATCAGCAGGACTTGACCACTATGATATAAGACTGCTGAAATACTTATATTACAATTAAGTAGCCTCTATCCAAATTGGAGACCGTCCGACTGAAAAAATATCCATCAAACGTGGAGTACGGCAGGGTTATGTTTTGTCACCCACTCTTTTTAATCTGTACTCTGAAGAAATCTTTAGGGAAGCTTTGGATGACAGACAAGAGGGAGTAACACTAGGTGGAGAAGTAATCAATAATATTAGATACGCTGACGATACATCCATTCTTGCAGAAAATTTACAAAATCTCCAAACATTACTAAATCTAGTCAGTGAAGCAAGTTATCGGAGGGGCCTTAAAATCAACATTTCAAAGACAAAGTGGATGGCAGTTGGAAAGATCAATATAGGTCAAGGTCTGATTTCTCTTAATGGAGAGAAGATCGAAAGGGTAAATCATTTCAAATAGCTTGGCAGCTGGTTAAATGTAAATTGTGAACCAGGATTGAAATATCACGTAAGGCTTTTATGACCTGGAAACCAGTTTTATGCAACAGAAACCTGTCGATGAATATTCATAAGAAGGTCCTGAAATGTTATGTGTGGTCCATCCTATTGTATGGTTGTGAGACATGGACGTTAAAAACCACAATGCTAAACACGTTAGAAGCATTCGAATTGTGGTGCCATAGACGAATCCTAAAGATATCGTGGGTTTAGTACACTTCCAATGAAGATGTTCTTCAAATGATCAATTCAGAACGTCTCCTCATAAACACCATAAAGAGGAGAAAAATAGAATACTTCGGCCATATAATTAGAGAACCTAAATACCATCTACTTCGTCTTATATTACAAGGAAAAGTGGAAGGAAAGAGATGGATTGGCCGAAAGAAACTTTCATGGCTGCGTAATATTAGACAATGGTGTGGTTCAACAGTAGAAGAATTATTTCGCGCAGCAGCCGACAGAGAAAGGTTTCAGGAAATTGTAAACATGATGACGACCAACGTCGGAATACGGACACGGCACCCAAAGATTTTCTGCTTGATTCTATTAAGAATTATCCTAAGAAGCAGTTTGAGAGAGTGACTCATGAGACTAATTAGTCTAAACTCTTTACATGATGATGTATTAGGTTTTTTTGGAAGTGGGATAAATGTAGACTCCAACCATATTTGTGGCAGTGTTCCAGTTTCGTATATGTGATTATAAATGTTTGTTAGTTCTGAGACATTGTCGTCGTCTAGAAGTTTGAGCCAGTCAGCGTGAAAAATCTTTTTCCAACGGACTTTTCAATGGACTATTAATGTTAGTTTGTAACGATAAAAGACGTATACCCCAATTATGACTGCTAGAAAGATATTTCTAAATTTGGTGGAATTGTCAAACAATAAATAAAGAACCACTGGGCAAATTCTCGTATGCAGAAGATATATTATGAATGTAGAAAGAATTATAGAAGAATGCTGAGAATATCATGGACAGCAAGGATCACGAACAAGGACGTACTAGGAAAAATTAAGAGGGAACCAGAGATTGTGTTTACGATCAAATGCATAAAATTGCAATATCTGGGACACGTTATGAGAAATCAGCACCGTTACTCCTTGCTACAGTCTATATTGCAAGGTAAAGTCAAAGGTAAGCGAGGACCCGGTAGAAGGAGAATATCATGGCTGCGGAATTTAAGAACATGGTTTAAGAAAACCTCAACGGAGCTGTTTCGAGCCGCAGCGAGCAATGTTATGATTGCCAATATGATTTCCAACATCCGAAACGGATAGGAACCAAAAGAAGAAGAAGTAGAAAGAAACTGCAACAAAAGAAGGTGTGGTGGAATATTGTAATGTTTTCTTTTATGATTTCTATTATTATTGTTATTGTGACGGCGTTTTTATTTATATTTCTACAGTTTATAAATAATATTTTAAAACTAATAGTAACAGTAAAAACTAAGACAGTACAGGAAATATAAATAATTAATTAACGTTTAAGCAACAATATTCTTACCTAAGAGAGAAATAAAACAGCCGTCAAAAAGCCCCATGGCTAACGTAATGACAACCAGCCATGGATAGTGTCCAACGGTGAAAGGTAATAACATAGTCATTAGACCTATGCTAAAGAAACTGAGCTGTTGCATGTATATCCTGTTCACATTTGGCAAATCAGCTATATATCCAAAAATAAGTCTTCCAATGCCTGAAATAATATGACGAATATTAATGTTTATTGAGATTTTACAATTACAAATATATACAGTGTGTCCGTAAAGTATGGAATAAATTCGATATTTCCTAAATGAAAAGCCTTTAAAAAAAAATTAAAACACGTCATTATAAAAGGTGATACACATTAAGGTGATGACATCATCGGCTCTTTTTTTTTAAATGTAACACACAATATTTTATGACTATTTTATAATGGATATAATTTGAAAAATATGCGCTTAGAAAATAAATGTTTTAGTAAAATGTAATTATTTTTAGTAACGTTCAATAACAATTAAGTAGTACAATAATTGTATTAATTCGTGAGTGTTCTGTATTACCTCTTAGAATTAATTTGAAGTGGAAATGAATTTGAGTGTAAAGCAAAACATTTAAATACTCATGATGATTGGGTATGGAGACACGCAAATCAGGTCGTCCCTCTATAAATACATTAGATGTTCTACTTGCTTTTGAGGAAGATGCGCATAATTCTGTTCGTAAGGTTAGTCGTGATCTCGATGTTTGCAAAACAATGCTACAAAAAGTAATAAAACGTGAAAAATGGCACCCCTTTGGATTCACACTTGTACAGGAATTACGAGGATGATGCAGATAAAAGAATACAATTTTGCGAAACAATGATGGGTCACTGCCACCGAAACCCTCTCTTGATTAAAATATTATTTTTTCTGATGAGGCTACATTCACATTAAATGACGAGGAAAAGGTAGACGTATGGGCTGGTATTGTAAGAAATAGAGTAATCGGACCCTACTTTTTCGAAGGCCAGCATACCTTCAGTTTTTAAGGGGGTATCTCGTACCTACTTTAGTTAATTTATTCCCCACTAGAATGGAGGTTTTGATGAAAGTTTATGGTTTCAACAGGATGGTGCACCCCCGCATTATGCTGTATATGTTCGAAGGTACCTAAACGAAATTTTTCGAACAGGTGGATTGCAACATGTGGACATATTGAATGGCCAAAGAGGTCGCCAGACCTCAATCCTTGGGATTGTTTTGTGTGGGGTCATTTGAAGAATGTTATTTATAAAACGAAACCTGCAAATATTGAAGACTTAAAAACAAGAATTCGTAAAGAAATAAATAATATTTCTCAAGAAACCATAAACAAACAAGAATTTGTACAACGTTTGGGTTACTGTCAAATACAACAAGGGCTACAATTCGAACATTTAAGATAAAGTCTTATATTAATTACTAGATTACTTTCAAGTTGTTTATTATACATAATTTATTTCTAATTTATTATCTAATATTAGAAATCAATCAAAAATAATTTTCCAAGCGCATATCTTTCAAATTATATCTGTTAGACCTCCAGTATTATACTATTTGAAACCAGCTTATTTATATCGATCTAAAAATGTCCTAAAGTACAGGGTGTTACATTAAAAAAAAAGAGCCGATGACGTCATAACCTTAATGTGTATCACCTTGTATAACGAAATTTTATTGTAAAATGGAGAACATGAAACTTAAAAATCGGCGTGTTTTAGATTTTTTTAAAAAGCCTTTTCATTTAGGAAATATGGAATTCCATACTTTACATACACACTGTATAAGACGTAAAAATTTAGGATTTCAATAATATTTAGTTGTTAACAACACATTCAATTAATTATCAAACATTTTAGCGGGTTGTTTTAAAAACAAATTAATGTTTTATTTATGCATTCAAATAATAATAAAATATTGTTAGCTAATTGTTTTAAAAACAAATTGATATTTTTTGAACGTATTTACGGGACACATTCAATATAGTAAAAGTTTGCAAAGGGCAGAGACGTAGTTGAATCTTGTGTTATGGTTCATGATGATCATTTCGAACATTTTTTGTAGCTTTTCTCCTACTTCAAATTATATTAGTGGTACTTTGTGTTATTGTTCTGGTTTAATGCTATTGTATTAAATAGTTCTTGAGAATGTATTAAAGGAATGAAAAGTACGCCTTAAGATGTTTTATTTTTTTGCATAAAAACGGCGCCTCATGTAAAAAATAGACCAGAAAGATTTTTTGTCACGAATTGAAGGAAAAACTTAATGTTTATTAATTAGTATAATCTCAGTGGCGTACCATTTTTTTCCTAAAAAATGGATGCCATTACTCAAATGCGAGCCAATGATGAATATAAAATTTGTTTCGAATTCGGGGTCTCAATCTGCCTACTCCCCTCACTCGAGACGTGCCAGTACCGTGTTCTGTATAATATATACAAGAACTGTCTGTTGGCACTGAGGTCTCAATCTGCCTACTCCTCAATGTCGAGTGACAACCGGTCTTACCCTGTGTCGCTGCTTTTATACCCGCTGTATGCGCGGGAACGGTATGCGCTGACGTGGTCTAAACTGACGTGGCCTGAGCGGTGTGGGCGGGAGGTCGCTGGAGCAAGGGTCGGCATGTTGCCGAAAATCGTTTCGCGTCATCGCGCGTATTTAAGCTGTTAGGCCGTTTTTCAATTTCGATAGCTTCACATATAATTCGATATTATACTAACCTGTACCGGAAACCCACTCATACAAACCAATATCTTAATGCCCAGTCACATCATCACCCTGCCCAATTCAATTCAGTTGTCAACACTCTCATTTCTCGTTCCATAAGACTTAGCCGCAAACTCTTATCTCTTGTCGTACTGCTTCACCATAGGCCGATCATATTCTGGTCTAAGCCGCAGATTCATCTAGAATTTTAAACTGTTGCGTTAGCCTTTTTGTTTTTCTGTACACCGAGCTAGGAATCGAACTCACATCCTCTGAACAACTCGCAGAGAAGCTAATGAGAAACCAGCTGTTAAGCCCGCTTGGCTATCTGACCGACTACTTCATATAATATAAGACCATACACTACAGATCATATAATATAAAAAAATGTCCTAACCTACTTTTCTAACCCTAGTTTTCCAATTTCCAAGATTACAACACATTACAGATTACCTACAGCAGCATTTACAAAAGTTTACATTTACAGTCTTAGTGTACTATTAAGTCCCATTACAGATATTAGACATGGCTAATCGGGAAAAATTCTATGAAGCATTACATAAATTTTACTCTAGTAAGTTGACGTAACTTAGATTTCTAGGGATTATATTGAAACTCTTTGTAGAAAAATAGGTAGTAATGCTTGATTGAATTTTTTTTATTTGTTGCAGATGTAAATAGCTTTAAAAAGCCGTAAAACTTATGGTTGTAATCTCTAATCATGGAAATTGGAAAACTAAGGTTAGATAATTAGATTAGTACAATTTTTTTTACATTATATGATCTGTTTGCAACTAATTGCAACACTGTTTCAAAATGGAATTACCGTTTCCGGTAGTTTCGCAAATGATTAAAGGGTGAAGTCATTTCGTAAAAATGAAAACGTTATAAAAACTGCCAAGTCATTACGAAAATAACTAGGCATTTGCAAAAATGCCTGGATTTCATACTTGCCTACGACATACAGTATGGTGGAAATGAAAGGAATAAATTCGTTATTTCGTAAACCAAAGACTTTAAGGAAAAATCCTGAAACCCGTCGATTTTTATTTTTAAATAAGCTATTCGTAAGAATACATTTTCATTTTTGACGTCATCTATGTGAGCGTGATGACGTCATGGCTAAAATTTTTGAATATAAAGGGGGGTATTGTAATACATCATTTGAAAGGTCTTTTAAATACCTAGTCAGCTATATCAATATGTCTAAGTAATTAAAGTTTGTAATTGTTTAAAACAATAATTAATTTTTTATTACCACAATAAATATTTATTAAGTATTATTCAATAAATACAACGAAACCTAAATTTAGTGCTCAAATTGTTTACCTTCAGCTAAAATACAATGAGAAAGGCGTGCCGTGAACTCTTCTCTAACATTCTCTAAAACTTCCGGAGTAATTTGAATAACCTCATTACGTATTCTTTCTTTCAGTTCATTAATATTTTGTGGTCTATTTTGGTACACCTTACTTTTTAAATATCCCCATAAAAAGAAATCAAGAGGAGTCAAATCAGGTGACCTAGGCGGCCATTCTATTGTTCCTCTTCGACCTATCTACCGATTTGGAAAGACGTTGTTTAAGTAGTTGCGTACCAAGACAGCATAGTGTGGAGGCGCACCATTTTGCTGTAGCCATAAATCATTTCTGTTTGGAAACAATCGGTTTAATTCTGGAAGCAAGAAATTTTGAAGACATTCTAAATATCGAGGACATGTTAAGTTTTCTTCAAAAAAGTATGGTCCAATACACCTATTATCTATTATTCCCACAAAAACATTAATTTTTCTCTGGATATTGAGTACGGTACTCTTGCATCCAGTGTGGATTTTCCGTAGCTCAGTACCGATAAGTTTGACGATTGACATAACTGTTTAGTAGAAATGTAGCTTCATCAGAGAAAATAATCTTTTTTAAAAACATCGGATCTCTGTTATTTCGTTCCATTATAATGTCACAAAATTCAATTCGTCTATCAAAATCATCTTCATAAGTTCTTGTACTAAACTTACTTTGTAGGGATGCCACTTTTCCTTCTTTAGCTGTTTAAGAACTGTTGAATGGTCCGTGTCATTATCTAATGCTACTTGCCGTGAACTGACGGAACGTCTACTTGTTGGTTTTCAGATATTGATTTTCTACTACCTTTAGGAAGGTCTTCAACATGACCCGATTCTCTAAATTTTTTCTCAATTTTGCTTACAGTGGATTGTGAAATTGTTTCTCGACGGGGGTATTTATTAATAAATAACGCACATACTTCTTTCTGCGTACGTGTTTTATCTCCATAACCAATCATTATATGCGTTTCAGTTAGCTTCATGTTCAAAGATACAAAGATTTTTTGAATACGTTTACTACAATAATACTATTAATCACTTGACAGAAAGATAATTAAGTTTGAATGGCCAACTATCAATGTTCATATTGATAAGGTAACTAGTTTTTTTAAAAGGTAAAAAGTAGATAAAAAAGACATTTCATTACCAGTGATGGCCTTTATAAAATTTATTTTTGGGTGTCAATAATACATCATATCAATATTTAATAAATATTTATTGTAATAATAAATATTTAACAATTTTTTTAAACAATTACAAACATAAAATACTCAGACATATTGATATGGCTAAATAGGTATTTAAAAGACCTTTCAAATGATGTATTACAATACCCCCCTTTCTATTTAAAAATTTTAGCAATGACGTCATCACGCTCACATAGATGACGTCAAAAATAAAAATGTATTCTTACGAATAGCTTATTTAAAAATAAAAATCGACGGGTTTCAGGATTTTTCCTTAAAGTCTCCGGTTTACGAAATAACGAATTTATTCCTTTCATTTCCACCATACTGTATATACTGTATGCTTCAATACAGAGAGAAAGCTTACAAAAAGTACATTTTTATTATAATTTTACAAATTTTGCAATTTTTTAATGTATATAAAACACAAACGAATAAATAATTTGAAAAACACAGTCAAGATTTGATTTCACGTACAATGCATCTGTGTATCTGCTTATACGTATTTCGCCCTAATAGGGTAAAATAAATCTTCTCTGTCTTAAGAAGCAACTCTAACATGGCTTCGTATGGACGCAAATAGCGACATCTGATAATAAATCCGTAAACTGTTTTCGAAACCAATTTAGATTTCTGCTTTAATCTGTGCCTTCTAAACATTACAAGGCAAAACAGACGTTAATAAAGATGTTAATAGAGACATGGGGAATCTAAAATTTGCATTCCGCGACATATCTCCTCAACTAAGCAAAAATCCTTAGCGAATTGGTTTCTTGTACTCATACAGAGTATATTCGAATAAAATGAAACAGACAGTCAAGATTTGATTTCACGTACAATGCGTTTGTGTATTTGCTTATACGTATTTAGACCTAATAGGGCTCATCAGAACAGCTATTCACAGTCATTATGAACGTGAAAATAAATCTTTTGTGTCTTAGGGCGAGCGCCCACCAAAGTGGCGTGACAGTGGCAAGTAGCAAGTAGCACGCGTCTAGCATAATGTAACCAATCCAAACGAATGATTAGAATGAATGACGTCACTGTCATTTTGGTGTAAACTGAATCATTCGTTTTCATTGGTTACATTATGCTAGACGCGTGCTACTTGCTACTTGCCACTGCCACGCCACTTTGGTGGGCGCTCGCCCTAAAGAAGCAACTCTAACATGGCTTCGTATGAACGCAAATAGCGACATCTGATAATAAATCCGTACATTGTTTTCGAAACCAATTCAGATTTCTGCTTTAATCTGTGCCTTCTAAACATTGCAAGGCAAAACAAACGTTCATAAAGATGTTAATAGAGACATGGGGAATCTAAAATTTGCATTCCCAACAAATATTTGAATAAATATTTGTTTCTTTCGATATTAATTACAGTTAATAGAAATTTTTGATATATTAGCGAATAGATTTGGCAATAGACTCAGAACCCTCAAACCTTCAGTTGCCAGATTGCATCAGATGTCTTTTTAACTTTATTATTTATACTGAAATTTTACTATTTACTTTTCAAAAACTGTTTTAAAATTATTTATTTCCCTTTTTTGGTATTTCTACACTAATAATATTTATATAACTTATTGGTTTTGATTGCATATGTTTCATTTTTAATGTAAATTTAATCACTGCCGGACACCAATTCTGTCAAGCTTCATTTAAGGCTATATTCACCCAGTGCTACCATGAATTATGTCCAATTTTGTTTTTGTTTATTAGGTATTAATTGAATTGTTAAATTTATACTTTAATACATTTATTGTTCCAAACATTGTTGTTTACAATGTTGTCTAATTTTAAATTTAAGTAAGTAAGATAAATTAAGTGTGCAGATGATCTACTGAATTCTACTGAATTTTGCCGAAGGTATCTACCTTTGGTAAATTTATAAGTAATGAGAAAAGCGAAAGTTTTATTTTATGACTTAAGTACAATTGTATATAATTTTAACTGTATATAACTATAGATATTTGGCTACATTTCAAATTTTATTTAAACGATTACCTGATGCTATTCCAATACACATTATGGGCAGCTTAGTATCTGAGCCATCTTCAAATTTCTCCTTCACAAGTTTCGACATATAGACGTATGGTACAAAATAGCCGAATAATGAAAATGCGATCGTAGACACCCACACGACATATCTAAAATTTCTTAGTAATGCGACGTTAAAAATACTGCGAAATGATATTCGCTTCCTTTTGGTTGAACTAGTTGTAGTTACTGGCTTAAATAGGAAGGCAAACAGCATGATGAAACTCGATTTTAAGGCTAGAAACCTCAGGGTCCATTCTATCTGAAACAAAAACGTACTCTTAAGGAAAATATTTTTATAGGTTTAGTGACTAGACAAATAATAAATACAACACTCACCAGCACGAAAAATGGTGCACTCGCATTTTTAAAATAAAAGCTTTAATACTCTTTAAACTTTTATTGGGGTGTAGAGTTGTGTTAAAGAGGTAGCATCTTTTATCGGAACGACCACATCAAGCGTCATAGAGATGGTTCTTGATAACTGGTCCTCATAAGACAACTAACTCTCACTTATGGCTCCACGTGCCACACTAAACTAAGTGAGGGTAGCCAGATATGGCGAGAATTTCACCAAGTGATTGCCGGTATAAGCAATTTCCCACTTACCGACCAACGACTTCTGGCGGATTTAGTTAGTAAGTAGTAGGGCACTCTTTTGTCCTGGGGTTGAGAAATCGGCCTCGAAGGCGGATGAACAACAAAAACTGTCAACATAAGAATATATAGAAGAATATAGAAGGTAAGGGGAAACCACTACATTAAAGATTCTACACAGATATCCCTAGTACAATTGTCATGGCAGTACAAAAAAGTAACTCTGTTACTGATCATGGATATCGGAGGCCAAGATTTGGCAGGGGAGGCAAATGACACATAGACCACAGGGCCTCTCAGGAAGATACCAAACGAAATCCCTGTGAAATACCCATTAAAAATACATCGTCCAAAAAGAAGACTACAATCGACAGAAAGTGTATGAAGATAGGCACGTGGAATGTTAAGTTAATATAACAAGCAGGTAAAGTACATAATGTCATTCAGGAAATGGAAAGACTTGACATAAAAATATTAGGACTAAGTGAAACCAGATGGCCCAATTCAGGTGACATATTAGTAGGCCAAACAAAGATATACTACTCTGGTAATGACAACGACGCAAATCACTGGAACGGAGTAGCGATATTAGTTGACAAAACTACCCAGAAATTTGTAACTGGCTTCTTACCCATCTCGGATAAAGTTATGATGGCAACACTAAAAACAGCCCAATCTAGAGTCAATATAATTCAAGTATACGCTCCCACTGCAGAAAAGTCGGATGAAGAGCTCGAACAGTTTTATAATCAATTATAATCAATACAACAAGCTTTAGAAGTAACCAAGTCTAGAGACGTTACAATAGTCATGGGATATCTGAAAGCAAAAATCGGTAGAGGAAGTCAAGGTGATTTTATTGGAAACTTTGGACTGGGCACCCGTACCGAGAGAGGAGACAGATTGGCTCAATTCTGCCAAGAGATCGATTTTATTGTCGCGAATACTTATTATGACCTGCCACCCAGGAGACTCTATACATGGAAATCTCCAGCAGACAACCAACATAACGTCATCAGAAACCAAATTGACTACCTTCTCATCTGCAAACGATACCGAAATTCCATAAAATCAGTAAAATCATACCTCGGAGCTGATGTGAGATCAGATCACAACCCAGTTGTAGGAAGGTTTAGAATTAAGCTGGTCAAGAATAAAAATGAATGGATGACCGATGAGATTCTGGATCTCATGGAAGCAAGAAGATCCTATAAAACCAAAGACAAAAATATGTACAATATTGTACACACAGAAATAGGGAGAAAGATCAGAGATGCAAAGGAAAGATGGTATAGTGACAGATGCGAAGAGATTGAACATTTGGTGGAGAAACATGATGACCGATGAGATTCTGATAACTTAAACCTTCATAAAAAAATTATGGAAATAACAGGTACTAATATTAAGAAAAAATCTAACATACTGCTGGATAAAAACGGCAAAATAATTATAGACGTCGGTGAAAGGCTTAAAAGATGGCAGGAATATATTTAAGAGCTATTTAAAGACGGATGGACTGGTATTAGAGGTATTAGAGGCGATAAAGCGAACAAAGAATAACATGGCAACAGGTCCTGATGAAATACCTGTAGACATAATACGGTTAATAGAAGAACAGCAAATTGGAATATTGGTCGACTTATTCAATACAATATACAGTACAGGAATCATTCCCAGAGATTGGCTGGTGTCAACATTCGTAACACTACCAAAAAAACCAAATGCAAAAGAATGCCAAGACCACCAAATAATAAGTTTAATGAGTCATACGCTCAAAATATTTTTAAAAATTATACACCGAAGAATACACTTGAACAGGACATAAGTGACGCACAATTTGGATTTAGAAATGTACTGGGAACGAGGTAAGCACTGTTCGCTGTGAATGTACTTGTGCAAAGGTACATGGATATTAATCAGCCAGTATATATGTGTTTCTTGGATTACAATAAAGCCTTCGATAACGTCAGACATAACCGTCTTATCGAATTATTTGAAAAGAAAAACTTTATAATCTGATCGCTGTGGTAAAAGAGAACAACGTCTTTTGAAATGAAATACAGATTTCCAGGCTGTATAAATACAGGCTGTGTCCTGTTTAATTTGTATTCAGAGGAAATAATCCAGGAAGCACTAGAAGAACTAGAAGAAAAAGAACTTTTGGTGCCCAGCTCTGGAAAATGCATTTACTAAATGTATTTTTCTTATGCACAATGCAATTTTTCATTTCGTTATGATCCCATTAGTTCACAAAATTTCCCAACGGTCTCACGAATCGAATGCACCAAACTGAATCTGTCTGTCTTACTGCGACGATTTTCGAAGATTCATTGCTTTATTTCCTCGACTACTAAAAAAAATCACTCATACAATACTTACTAAAAAATAATCAATAATCAAATATATACAACGACTTTGCCCTTCGTTAAGTAAATTAATGTAAATTAAATTAAATATATCTTTTAATATAATGATCGATAACAATTAAAATTCGTTTAACTATTGGGGAACTACGATTTACAGAATATTTACTATACATTTATTTATAGATTTCTCTATTAGTTTTTTGTATTTACAAACTATAAACACAAATTATATATCAATTATATGAAAATATAAATATTTTTGTCAAACAAAAAGAGAACAAGTTCAAATAAAATAGCATGAACTACTTTATTCTAAAAATTATTGTTTCTACAGAGAAAATTAAACAGAAAATAACAGTGTTTATAGTTCTAAACGTTGTTTATTTTATTTTATTGTTTACATTTTCTATTTATTGGAAAGTTGTGAAATTTATGTATTGAAGTTTTTGATGGAATGTATTCATGGAATCAATTAAATTACAATAAAAAATTCCGAGAAGTTAAAAAATATTTCTTTTGAATTTTAAATTAGACTGTACCTACTTATTGAAGACAACATTATCTACATTTAAAGAGTAACTGACAGCTGGAATGAATATATTCTAATACCTATTAAAAAACCTGAGAAACCAGAAAATTGCAGTAGATCATATAGACCAATATCCTTAGCCTCTTGCTTCCTAAAGACGTTAGAAAGATTAATAAAAAATATAATTGAACATTGGTTAGAGCAAAAACATATTCTCCCAAAATCTCAGTATGGATTTCGAAAATCAAAATCAACTCAAGATGCCATAACTGCCTTAGTCTCATCCATACTAATAAACTTAACTGATAATATGTACACTGGCTGTTTTTCTTGATGTCTTTTCTGCATTCTATACCGGTAACTTGGACATTATGCATAAAAAGCTATTAGACATCGGCTTCCCCATCACCATAGCTAGCTTTCTGAGGACACTGTAAACTAATAGATCAACTTTTTTAAAAATCAACCATTCCATCTCTCCACCACGTCTTACAAATATAGGACTTCCCAGGGTAGCATATGAAACCCAGTACTATTTATTTTATATAATATAGATTTAGAAAGTTGTATTAATAGCATAACAAAAATTATTCAATATGTTGATGATGTAGTAGTTTACACAGCCCACAAATCATTGGATATGTGTAAAAATAATTTTGATCTCTCAATTAAAGCTGTTCTTAATCACTATGAAAATATTGGTTTAAAAATATTAGAATCTAAAACAGAAGTTTGTATTTTCTCTACAAAACATCAAATTCCACAAGGTCATCTCGAAGTAGGTCAAATTCAATTCCCTATTAAAAATTGTATAAAACATCTCGGTACTTATTTAGACAGAAATCTTCTATGGAGGGATATAATATTCTAATAGAGGAGGGATATAATATTCTAATATTCTATTAGAATATTCTAAGAACTAACTGGGGCGCTGATCCAAATGTAGCACTTTTATTTTACCGTACTATGATTCGTCCCATTTTCGATTACAGTTGTCATTTGTATGAAACTGCCGCAAACACACATTTAAATAAATTAGAAATACAAAAAATATATGAATTCGGCTTTGTCTTGGTTATTTGAATTCTACACCCGTTAATATAATGGAAGTTGAGGCGATAGAACCACTTCCGAAATTTTGACAGGAGTTTTTAAGTGATAAATTCTTTACTAGAGCCATAGGGAAAAATACTATCTACAGGATATTCATATTTTATCAATTTTAGATCTAACTCATAATTATTGGACAAAGAAAATATAATCCACAAGGAAAAATTCCTGTAGCTGGCTGTATACCACGTATCACAAAAAAGAGGTTAGTCTTTGTAAATGGGTATATTTATTTAAAAAACCCTTAAAAGGGCTACATCAATAAAACAAACGTTTTCGGACCACACAGTCCATCATCAGGTTTTAAAATCGAAAAATGCTAGGTCACAATGCCTGAGCCACCAAAATACTAGGGTAAAAACCCTTTAAATTACATTTAGTTATAAAAGATTGTACATTGTGTTGTAAAATAACTGTGATGTTCAGTATTAAATTAAATTTGACTAGAGGTAACACATGGCTGAATCGAGTTCCAGAGCCGGTGAGAGAGAACCTCTACACGCGGAGAACCCAGCTGTTCTTTGTATGGGCTGAACCCAACAGTAATTTAGATCCAGTCGCTTTTCAATCATTTATACTGCATAAATGACCACATTATCAGTTTTACTATACAGACGGATCTAAAGTACAAAACAAAGTAGGATATGCATTCATTAATATTCAAAGTTGATTTAAAAAATTATTGAAATTGCCGGTTGAATCATCGATATACACTGCTAAACTGACAGCAGTTCTTCTTGCATTAAGACATATACATACTAACGAACCCTACAGCACGAACATAATATTTACAGACAGTAAGAGAGTCGTCGACAGACTAACAAACGTAGATATAGAACTAGAAATAATGACTAAGTATTTACAATAAAATTACAAATTTAGGAAAAAACATTATTATATCATGGATAAAGGGAAACGCGGGCATTAAAGGCAATGAAATAGCAGATAGCCTAGCCAAATCTGCCCTAGAGATAGGCGGAGAAGCTCCCTTGAACTGACTCCCATTTTCAGACATTGATATAATTAGTAAACGGCATCAAAAAAAAAATGCCAAACATATTATCGAAACACAAGAACTGGAAGTAATTACAAACAAATGCATCCTGAAATACCTATAAAAAGATGGTTTCATACTCTATCAAATCGTCATTTCATTAGGGTTATAAACAGATTAAGATCTAATCATGCTCTTACCCCCCTTCATATGTACAAGTTGGGTCTCACGGAGTCACCTAATGGCAAGTGTGGAAAAGAAGGTAACCTGTTAGGAATTTGCCTTGAACGTTCCCACGAATCAGTAAACATAAACAAATTTTATGATAATCTTATATTAAAAATTCCACTTCCCGTCTACATTTTCTCTAGAGATATCAATATATTAAAAACGATTTACGAACATATCAAAAACTGTAAATATAAATTGCAGCTTTAAAACTAACCCTTACATTTAAGTAAATACATATTGTATTATATTATAGAGAAATTCAGAAATTCAGAAAAAATTCCTCTGATTCTAAAAATTGCTTGGCTTTAAATTTGTCTGGTTAAAAAAAAAAGTACCTGCCGTTACGCCGTACGTAAGCAAGATTCGTCGAACAAAGATCGAGGATAAGCACATAGTTCATATTGAAATACTTCTTTAAGTCCTTATCACTTATTACTGTGCACATCATCATTTTTTACTGAACAACATATGAACCATATAAAACAATTTGGTGTTGGAGGAAAACTTTTACTTTGGATGTTGGAGTTAGGCTTTTTTTGGAACAAATTGTACCATACTAATACACTAAAAGAGCGGCTCATTTTTGTCGATAATATTTGACCCCTTTGGTCTTCTTGGGGCATTTACAATTACGAGAAAAAAAATTTATACAAAAATTATGGCTTGAAAAACTCAATTGGGATGATCCTTTACTCCAAACCCTCAATAATAAATGGATAAAGTTCGACTCTGATATTGCATTACTAAATTCTTGCTGAATACTCCGCTATTTATTTCAAAATAAAAAAATTACTATAATGTTATACTCTCGTACTGTATATGAAGATAACACTGAACGTTCAACATTAATAACCTCAAAATCTTGACTCGCTCTCTTAAAAACTATCTCCATTCCTAAGTTGGAATTATCCGCAATACTATTGTTATCTAGGTGATCTGAAAATCGTATCCAATTTTCATTTGCTTTATGAACTGATTCTCAGATCGCCCTATGTTGGATTAATTGTTCTTTCTTGTAGGAACACAGGGTGGTGGCGAATCGTGTATCCCAAATACAAGATTTAAATAACCATTTTACTCGGGGACATACCAGTTCATAGAACAATGCCACTGATTGTCTGTCGCATGGTCTGACAACGAAGAAAGTTTGAAACTCACCTATTTGGTGAAATGCCGCAGATTTTTTATTAAAATCCCATTTACTCTAGTCAATTCACGAATCTCACATTTCAAAAGGTATACTATCCGAAGAGCGAAAGGTAGCATTATCAACCCGACAACTATTAGTTCAGAAAATGATGTGTGTAAGATTAGAACAAATATCCGCACAACAAGGATAAATCACCATGCGAAAGAAGAACTATAAGCCTATCGCGCAAAAAATGGAGTGCTATCTTACAAGTATCAATCCGGGAATGAACAAGCTGAATTGCTATAGACAGTACGAAGGGGAAGAAGAACAAAAAGGAAGGTTAAAGGCTAAAAATATTAGAGGTATTCTGTTACATATTACATGCTACTTAAGTTATATAATTGTTTAATATATAAGTTACATAAGTTTAATATAATTACAACCGTTTAAAAATATTACTAATAACATACCTACTTACCCCAAAATTTTTCAAAAATACATCTATCAAATATGGCATCGCTATCGTAAACACCGAACTGCCAGCTGTTACAAATCCATTTACTTTTCCTAAATATTTTTTAAAGTAGTGTCCTAAAATGGCCAGTGATGGAGTGTACATTAAAGCTCCTCCTAGTCCATACATAACTCCATACGTAATGCACATGATTACTATATCCTCGATGAAGAAAGATGAAAGTAACATGCCACCAGAAGCTATGGCACCGCCCAAGAAAGTAGTCCGTCTGATGCCGATATAATCAGTAAGTACTCCAGCTACTGGAGAAACGAAAAATACTGTGCCCATTGAGAAGGAGCCCACCAAAGCTGAAACATAAATATATTCATATAATATACTTTAATCTTAACAATAAGAGGTATTCTTAGACATAAATTATTTCAGATTAGATCACAAACAACCGATTCTCTTAGTAATGCCTCGGTTGATTTTTACTGGTACTAAGACAAGGAGACACAATAACTCCAAAATTATTTACAGCTGCCCTAAAAGTCAATAGACTGGGAAAATAAGGGAAACCCTATTAACGGAAGATATTTGAACCATCTTAGATACGCAGATGATGTAGTACTAATAGCCGACACGTGGAATGCACTGAATACGATGATTGAAGAGCTACACACAGAAACCTTAAAAAAGGACTAAAAATGAATTTCAGCAAAACTAAACTAATGTCAAACAAAGATGACAAACCTATGATATGATAAACATCCAAGGGACAGAGATAGAACACGTAGAAGAATATCCATATCTGGGTCAAAATGTCAAGGTAAGCAAAGAAAACGAAATAAGCAGACGTGTAAAAATGGAATGGGCAGCATTCAGAAGACTCTCACAAGTACTTAAAAATAAAAATATACCTCAAAGACTGCAAACCAAAGTGTTTAATTCCTGTATCCTACCTGTACATACATATGAAGCTCAACCCTGGACATTGACTAAAATAAATATGGAGATCAGAAAAACTCAGAGAACTCAGGCTATGGAACCACAGATCCTGGGTATCTCACTCAAAGATCATAAAACCAATGAAGACATTCGTGATAGAACAAAAGTAAAAGATGCTGTCGAACAATCAGCTAAACTGAAATAGAAATGGGCTGGACATAACGAATGTCTTAAGGATGGCCGATGGAATAAAGAAGTCGGGAATTGCCGGCCATATGAAGCCGAAAGACCACGAGGAAGACCTTAAATGCGGTGGAGCGACGATATTAAAAGAAATGCAGGACCGATGTGGACACGTCTCACAAACAACAGAGATGAATAGCGAGAATTAAAAGAGGCATATATTCGGCAATCCGAATAAAGAGAAGGAGTTAAAAAAAAGTAAAGGAATAATTTACTAAGGTAGACTAAGTTAAAGTACGTAACGCAAGTATGAAGTGGCTTGTCATCTCGGCGTAAACGGAAAAGAAAGTTTTATTATGAGAGAGATAAAATAGGCTTGTCAACTCTATTATTTATACTGCATATTCTTAACATAAACAAATTATCGATGACTGACACGCACGTATTACGACGGTCTTCGCCTTTTCATTCGTCAAGAGACTTAAATATTTATATGTTTATATATTTATATGTATTAAAAATGTTTATAAAGGAAAAACCTTTGCGTTTGGGTATAAGTTATGGTGCCTCTGTTCATCTGATAGATACCTATTTCTGTTTATATGCTAGCACAACACAATCAGATTTACGCTTGGGTGCTGATGTAGTATTAAAATTACTAAGTGTTGTAGAATCTCCCTCTAACCACAGGGTGTTTTTTGACAACTTGTTTTCATGTTATATGCTGTTCACAATATTGAAAGAAACGTGAATTTATGCAACTGGCACAGTGCGAGAAAACAAGATTAAAAAATGTCCACTGGAAACCTCTAAAATTATTTCTAAAAAAGATAGAGGTTCGTTCTACTTTGTTTTTGACAAAGAAGCTGAGGTGTCTGTAGTTAAATGGAATGACAAATCAGTCGTAACAGTAATCTCCAATAACTGTCCGGTCCATCCCATAGGCTTGAAAGAAGTAAATATACTCATGCCGAATGATATCCAAGAATACAATAGATGTATGGGCGGCGTTGACTTACATATCAATTGCATAGCGAATTACAGGATTGCTGCACGAAGAAAGAAAATGGTGGTGGCCATTTTTTAAAAACATAATTGACACTTCTATTGTAAATGCCTGAAAACTTTACAGATTGGCAAATAAAAGCTCAATTTCTTAAATCGATTTTCGGTCATATATTGTTGTTTGTCTAATGAACTCGGAAGATGAACAAGAAGAAGAATTAGAAAAGAATGATAGTGAAGAAGATAAAAAGTCAACTGTACCGTTGAAAAATAGCTTACCAGATGAAATCCGAAAAGATAATATAATAAGTCATTTCAGTTCCGCGAAAGGTTTGAAAACGAATATTTTTTTTTTGTTTTGACACCTGTCAAGATAAAAGTTTAAAACAATTTTTTTACGAATGTTTAAGTTTATTTTACCTGAGGTTATAAAAAATATATTACATATTATTGCAGCATATCTTGGTTAACGATATTTTAAGAGGCTAAAAAAATTGCTGAACACATCGATTGCGACCATTCGTTTCCACTGATTAATATGGTTAGGCCACAAACGAAAAAGCGTTTACTTGAGGCGTAAAGATGAGGATCAAAAAAATCCATTTGACCAATTTAAAATTAATTTTTACTCTGTTATAATGGACTGCCTTATCAAACTTGAAGAATGGTTCGAACAAATAAAATAACATGATAAACTGAATTTTATCAACAACCTATATATTTTCCTTAAAATGGATAAATTAATTAGATCTTCAAATTGTAAAGCTCTTTAAAGCTGGGTACACACATGCTAGTAAATTGAGAAAGTAGGTGGCATGCCAGGTACACATTTGCTAGTAATTGGCATGCTAGTAAACAATCGAGTAGTTTTCATCTGAAACTAAAGTACTTGTTTTGTAATTAAAGTTTTTAAGTTTCCAACAGAAAAAGGGGATCCATGGAAGGTATTCGAAATTAATTCAACAAGCAAATATTGCTGATGATCACAGATATTGGTAAAAATTTAACAATGAATCCGAAGCGGACCTCAAAAAAGAGAAAAATTTGGGATTTGAGTGTGTAAGCATTGTCACGGGCTATTTTATTTTTATATAGGGATGGGAAGATTTAGAATTCCAAAGACACTCCAATTCTCTATATATAGCAATAAATTTAATCGTTTTTTTCATCACCCCAACGAAACATTTTTTAAATTAACAAGCTTAAACATAAAAAACAATTAATTTTATCACCAACATAACAAATCTGACAATTCTCTGCTAGCTACATGCATGCCCGTAGCTGTAGCGCCCGTTCACACAAGCCAATGACACTCACATCGAGCAAAAAGACAAAAGAGGGAATCTAATCGTTATGAAAAGGAGACCAAGAAAGTGGCCTCTGATGGCGGACATATCCGGAAATGCGAATGCGCCAAATTTAAATTTTTCGACACTTATTAACAATAGCTATAAAATAGTTTTAAGAATGTGTCTTAGACGAGAAACTTTAAATAAATATTAACGATAACAGTCTAAAATGTGACACAATTATTAAAAAACTTCAATATAAATAAGATTTCATGTGACAGTTGGGACAAACAATAACATAACCCAACTAAATTTGATTTCTTAAACAAGGAAAGACTCTCTTTCCTTGTTTAATGTGGCCTCTCAAGATGGCACTTCCTGTCTAACAATATTTTTCCCCCACTACCTCTACATTCCCTCTTTTGTCTTTTTGCTCGATGGACACTCCCCACGTATGCGCCTTGCATCTTACAGCAAGATACTAGAAAGAAAAATCAAATTCTTTGCCATTAGCTAGCATGCTAGTTAACGTACACACTTGCCAGTTTAGGGATAGTAGGAGGTGCATGCTAGGTACTGGTATGCCATTGTGCCTGTAACAAGCATGTGCATCTCCGGCTTATTTCCTCTGAAATAAACGCATTAAATGCCATCAATTACTTATTCAGCAATATCTTCATCTATTTCCAAATTTGGTAATCGCCGTTAAGAATTTTCTTAACATTACCTGTGACAGTAGCTAGTGGGAAAGGAAGCTTTTGAAGACTTAAAATAATAAAAAAATTTCGACGATCCACAGTGGCCCAAAAAAGGCTTTGAGACATCCATCATTAGTATTGAAAAGGATATTTCAGTAAATAAATTTGTGTCTGACATTGTTAAAAGCTAGAAAAGCAAAATTTACTGTATTTATTCGTAGATATGTTATCATCCTGACTGTATTTATATTTATGTATTTAGCGCTTTAATATATGTAGAACATTACAAATAAGTGGTAAAATTATATTATATTGAATAAACTCTGTATGATTCTTAAAATTTTGTTTTTTTAACGTAAAATTGTTTTAAATTTTTTATTTGCAAATGCTTACAAAGTTACTGTGAAGGATCGGTTTGTGGAACGCGGTAATTTATTGTCACACCCGGGCGGCAAATACCTTAAGCCGGCCACTGCGGTGTGTCGTTCGACAAAATCGTCGATGATATCAATTCTGCAGTACTGCATCATAGAAACCAGTTTCTAGGTGGTAAAATTGTAACGATTTTGTTGGATGCACAGTCACAGGCGATCAAAATGTTTATCAATTAATCGAATTCGATAAAATCGCACGACGTCGCAGTATCGTGAGTGGCCCCCTTTAGGAACGACCCTTTTTTATTTCAAAATAATAATAATAATAAATTGCCTTTATTTAGTCTGTAAAAATTTACAAACACGAAATACATGAGGCGAAGTCTAGCTAGAGCTACTCCACTTAACCTCAAGTTTACAAAGTTAGTTTGAAATAATTAGAAAATGAAAAAAGTGATTTATAATTTGATATAAATAATAATATAATATTGAAATGATAGAAATAGTCATGTGGCTACTAGAAAAATAATATAAAGAAGATCATTTGTGATGTTATGCGATAAATGATAGGAATGATAAATAAAAACAAAAATATCTAATGGTAAGAATAACGACAAAAATATACTATATAATAATAATAACGTTACTGTGATTGTAGTTGTAGCGTTATAACTGCTACATTGCCTGCTTTCTTTCTTATGTTAATATATTTCGTTAATTATATTCTCCAATTTCCATATCTTCTGTCATAATTCATATTCTTCTATATCCTCCATTGTATCTCTTATTTTTCTATATATTTTCTAGGATATAGATTGTATCAGAATTATGTCGTTACTTAATTGATTCATTATTCTCTTTTCATTTTTAC